AACTTCTAAGAGTCGAAATGTAAATGTTTCACGAGTACTAGTTACTTTAGCGGCTTGTCTTTAAATTTTTGTAAATCTATAAACAAAATACAAATTATATTTAAAGGTTTTAATAAACAAAAACTAAGTATTACTCAACCATTTTACAGATATTCATTTCAAACGTGTCACAAAATAAACGATTTAAAGTTTCCGTTCCTTGAAGAATACAGAGGTTATTGATTTATACAAAAGAGGTTATATAAAATTTATAAATTTTTATTCTAGGAAGAAGTTGTATAAGTTTCGACGAATCACTGTTAAGCTTTTCAATAAATCACTTCACGTCGTTATTTATATATTAAAAGTTTTGTTGACCACCTAACAAATGTAAACCTTCTGCAACGATCGGCCGCCTAAGTCATACTTTCGAATACACTCGTGTTTTTCCGAGAATAAAACACATTGAGATTGAATCTACAGTGTGCTCAAAGTGATCTTGAATGATACAGCCACCATTTGGAGTAGCAATTTACAACTAGTACCGAAATTTCTATTACAATTAACGATTATTGAAGTTTTCGAATAAAAAGTTATTACTATTATAACGATATACAATACTTGAAATGTATTTATTGATGTATAATTAATAAACGTTAGACAAAATAAGGTAGTGAAGTACCTAAGTACCTACCCTCGACCTGAGAGGTGACCGACTCAAGATAGGTTCATCTAGCTGCAGGCCCACAGTTGCCAAAGTATCCCAACAGATGCACAGAATGGAGTCGTTTCGTAAAACATATTACTTTTATCACATGGATTCGGAAATTTAAATTGAAAAGATTCAGGTGACTTTTTCGATATTTCTGTTTTTGCTAAGCCAGCATACCCCTCAATCCTCGGAGGGCCGTATTTTACAGTATTTTAGCACAAACTGAGAATAACCCTCTCGAAAATGCGTTTTCCAATCCAATACTTTCCGGCAGTTCCAACGGACCACTGTGACAACAACAACAAATGTCGAAAATCTATTTCGTAAAAGAACGAGTGAACCCTCTGAGATCAGAGCTATCCGAACTTCTTAGCCTGTGGGGCATGAACAAATCTATGTAGAGATTTATAACATAACCATTTTACTTATAGTCATAAAAACATCGATACTTTTATTAATCTATCTGTAACAAGTTATTTAGTAACTTTTTTAATTAATTAAAAAATATATACATATATATCACTAGTTTTGGTTTAAACAGCAAAAAAAAATTCTTCCAAATTAGGACAGCATATTATTCCACTTTCACAAGTTCCAACCTATATCTAAAGATAAATGATTCTTCGTTTGGGAATAAAATCTTCGAGGGAAGACGTATTGGAAAAGTAACCCCACAACATTCATGGATTTGATATCCCGTTTTGAGTTTGGATCATCAGCGAAAACGAAAATGCAAAAAAGTTCCACATTTCCGAATTGAGTATTAGACTCTTCAATTCTCAGGACACAATGCATGTACATATTGTACTTAATTTATGTTTTCACTTGTAAAATGTATGAGAAAAAAACCATCAACAAAATTCAATTTTTCGTTTGTACGATTTAAATAAGAGTAACATTTTCCGGCAGTCAGAATAAAACTAATTTAAGGAGGAATATAACAATGTGAGTGACGTTTACAAATTACGGGAAAAGAAAGAAGGCCTGCATACTTGTTAATTTATTTATTAACATCTAGTCTCAACCTTCAACAATAACTAACTCAAAAACCTGACCCCTTACTGCTTCAAAATTTAGGAGAGAAATCGAGACTACAAAAATCTGTTTAAAATTCAACAGAAACAAACAAGAAATAGACAACACAATACAATTCAAAATAGATGCTTGAATATATTCTAAAAATCGTATAAAACTAACCTCATTAAAATATAGAATCAATTTAACCTTTCCTTTGGTTCAATACCTTCTATATTTTAGTCATTAGATTTTTAACAATTATTTATATTTACTTGTATTATTAATTGAAATTGATACTAAGATCTTTGAACACTATTCTCCAAATTGATACAAGGAACTTAGTACACCATTACCTAACTTGATACAAGGAACTTTGTACACTATTCACTAAATTGATACTAGGTACTTTGTACACTTTTTTCCCAAATTGATATTAGGAACTATGTCTACTATTATCCAAATTGATATTAGGAACTATGTCTACTATTATCCAAATTGATATTAGGAACTTTGTACACTATTCACTAAATTGATACTAGGTACTTTGTACACTTTTTTCCGAATTGATATTAGGAATTATGTCTACTATTATCCAAATTGATATTAGGAACTTTGTACACTATTCACTAAATTGATACTAGGTACTTTGTACACTTTTTTCCGAATTGATATTAGGAACTATGTCTACTATTATCCAAATTGATATTAGGAACTTTGTACACTATTCACTAAATTGATACTAGGAACTTTGTACACTTTTTTCCGAATTGATATTAGGAATTATGTCTACTATTATCCAAATTGATATTAGGAACTTAGAACACTTTTTCCCAAATTGATATTAGGAACTATGTCTACTATTATCCAAATTGATATTAGGAACTATGTCTACTATTATCCAAATTTCCTCCAACTCAGGGTCTAATCCAAGGAGCCATTTTCTAACTATAGGCAAATAAAAAAAATAACTTTGCAGATCAGAAAGCGGCAGTATTTTTTTTTTTTTATAAAGGATAAAGGTTCCTGGGTGGCAGTCATAAATAGACTAAATAGTTTCGCCACTATTTGATTTATTTATGACCACCACTCTGGACTATCTCCTTCCTTTAAAATGCAACGGTCAACTATTAAATATTCAATTTTTCTTTATACAGTTATGGATAGAATTTGAGACCTGCTTGACCATTTGTTCATCAATTTTTAACTCCCCTCCAACTTTAGGCCAAATCGAACATCCTGTTTTTGAAATTTTGGTGTATCAAGGAAATACTACTGCAAAAATTTAAGAGAAAGTAATTGGTGAAATTCAACAAAATTGACACAGTATCATTATTTTACCAATGCCCATCTTAATTCAAAAGTTAACTAAACAAGCAGTTTCTAAAATAATGGCATATCTAAAAATATACATTTGCGCAAGCGCAAGTATTGAAAGAAATTTAATGGGGCCACCTAGAAACCAACTTAAACAATCTCTGAAAATTGAATAAAACTATAGTAGATGATGTGTCCGTTACGTTGATTTGACTAGACAGAACAACAATCTAATTTGATCATCCATGTCTGCAACAAAACGAGAGTGGAATTTTTGATTCGCGATGAGTGAGAGAAAAAGTCGAAAAAAAACTTTCATATTATGATACAACCTTTATTTAAAATTTGCTAGTAAGTAGACTGGATTTAAATGTTGCGTGTAAAAACTAATAAACTGGAATATCTGTTTCAGGATCTGTAGAATAACATATTTAAGTTATATGTAGCATGGTTAACCTAAAATAGCACAATTTTTATTTTTGTTGCATTAAATTACACCTTTTTGAGCTAAATTAGATTAGTTATAAATGTAAATGAGTGATTGAATATTTACTTTATCATTATTTACCTTGTCCAAATTAAATTTTAACTCTATTAAAAACAGTTTGTATCTGTAGGAATAGCCCATTTGGTCAAGAATTTTATTTTTAGTCCTCATTTGACAAGCGGGAGAGGACCACCCTCAGTAGGTGATTACCATTTTTAATGAATAATTTATTTAGATTTGATTTGAAATTAGGTTTTATTATTATTTGCAAGTTTTTATTGATGTTAATTTTATTATTTTACCTAGCCTGATGAAGGGCTGACAAAAGACCGAAACCGGTGGAAATAAAGGAAGACATCTTTTGATTAAATTAAATTTGATGTTTGAAGCCACAATTAAAGAAAGCTCAAGGATTTCATGGCACAGCAAGATGCGCCATCAAATTTTTGAGGGAAACATTTTGATGGGATTCTCTGGCACATTTCTCTGTTTAATAAGTTTTCCCTAACCAATATGCCCGCAGGCACAAATATTATAACTAAATTTATTTATGTAGTAAAATGCATTTTTTAATAAGTTAACGCTAGACTGGATTCTACATTTTAACATCGAAAAATTTTGTAATGAGCATTTCTCTATAGACAGAATTATGTTCAGAAGTTCATTACTAAAAATATCAATATATCCGCAGATGTATATATTACAAATAGTAAATAGTACTGGTGTTTTCTATTCAAAAAAGCATTTTTAAGTATATTTTGTTTAAATTGTAATCAATTAGAGTGCTACCATTGGGTAGTTACTCAGCAAGTGTATTCATATCATTATATCAATTATGTCCAAATTTACTTGATGTATTTATGTAATACAGTTGTAAATGTCAAAAAAAAAAAAAAAAAAATTGTAATCACCACTCTTGTTTGATTTTAATATAATGACCAGTGCCGTTATTGAGTCGATGGTGGATGAGTATAGCACCGATGGTTGTTTATGACAAAATTTACCCCTTCAACGTCATTAAAAATGATATCCAGTATATTTATTTCCAATTTGAAAAAAATATTTATGTGCAGACAAAACTCTTTGACTATTCCAATTATTCCAGGTCGGTCGCCACTCTGTATATACTGTATACTATATATTATATATACCGTATACTATATATTATATATACTGTATATTATTAGGTTTACATTAGTAGATCAATATTTAGGGTGAAAACGTCTTTTTAAAATTATGAGTAAGTGAAGTATAAAACTAACATTACGACAGCCGTTAACAGAGGGGAACCGGGGAGGGGGGGGGGTTCTACAAGTGGAGCAGATTGGCTAAGGTCTAGGATGATCACTATACCTCCCCTCCAATATTAATATCTCTATTATACAATGTACAAGCTATTTCCATCAGGAGTTCAGTCTTGTTACATTTTTTAGTATTGCTGCTTTCAGATCCAGAAAAAACTATTAGCGTTCTAATTGATTTATATGGCACTGGTGCATGCTGTTTATGGCCTTTGAAGGGTTAACTAAGTCCGGTCGAACAAGCTGTGTATTGGAAAAAAAAAATGGTATAAAAATTAAAAACAAGTTATAGTTTTACCACAATGCTTTTATTTAAATATTATTAAATGAAATGAAGCTAATGACGTAAAAATTATACAAAGTGATAAAGGAATATACATACTCAATTCAAGATATACATATAGACGTGGATCATAAAAATTACAGGATGAAAAATTATAAAAAATATTTAAAAAAGAAAAAGATGCTGGTTGGTTTGGAGCTAGAGCTCTGGGCCTCTTCTCATCATCAGTACTCTTCTGCTCCTTCGCCCTCCCCTTCCACTGAGTCCATGCCGACCTCTTCGTAATCCTTCTCGAGGGCAGCCAAATCTTCCCTGGCCTCTGAGAATTCTCCCTCCTCCATACCTTCACCAACATACCAATGGACAAAGGCCCTCTTGGCGTACATGAGGTCGAACTTGTGGTCTAGGCGAGCCCAAGCCTCTGCGATAGCAGTCGTGTTGGACAGCATGCACACGGCTCTCTGGACCTTGGCCAGGTCACCACCAGGAACGACGGTCGGGGGCTGGTAGTTGATGCCCACCTGGAATGGACAAAGTGATTAAGTAGGTTAAAGGCATGACGCTCACTTCTGATTATGGCTAATTGAGAAAACATTATTACCTTAAATCCTGTCGGGCACCAGTCGACAAACTGAATTGTTCTCTTGGTTTTGATAGTCGCAATAGCAGCATTTACATCCTTCGGCACGACATCACCCCTATGTAATGAAAATTAAAATATCAATATTTGTTATATTACATTTTTCATAAAAACCTCTAAGCAACTGAGTAAAATAAATAATTAAAAAAAAAATGACACCTTAATAAATTATTCACATCCATTCACAGAATAGGGTATTTGTACAAATTGTCAACTTATATTGCTAGTAAAGATAAAAAGGCAAAAAGTTGAGAATGATTTTTGTAAAGATAACTTGCTTTGAATAAAAGTGATGGGGAGTTGGGCGAAACCTGGTGTGCGCACATCACACCGCTTTTTACTACTCAACTTTCAAAAGCAATTCTTGTCTGGCCAACTAGACAGTTCAAAGAAGTTTTTGAAGCGCATTTTTAGAGCAACTAAACAACACATTTACGAATTTTTGTCATATTCATCAATAAAAAAACTAATTAAAACAATCACAATAACATAAACCATATTTATAATATCGATTGTAGCCTATAAAAACCTTGTATGTAACTACATCAGCCTATTTGAATCACATAACTCCAGTCTCTGAGCACTACGGAATAAGAGAGATTTGAATATTTAATTATGAATAAGTAAGGATCATACCACATATTAAAAATTGTAGTTGTTAAATCTCTACCACTGTTTACATTTATTTATTTAAATTCTTATTTTTTACCCTTGGAAAACATACCAAAATACTGTTACCTACTTTCAAATACAACATCAATAGGTCAAAAGTCGTCACACTAATTGTAAGTATAAAATGTGATTTCACAAAGGAAAATAGTTTAGAAATAAATAGACTATGTAATAACTAATTATCTAAATATTGTATCAGATGATCTAGAGTTATAAATAATTATTTAAAAAACTACAATAAATGTATTTAAGATTATAAACATATATATAAAATGCATGAAAAGACTTTTATACATCACTTCTTTCACAAAAGTACAATGAAGTAGTTAATTAAACAATTTCATTGGCTTGATTCAGTGGATTTTTAATACTTTTTTCAAACTAAAACATTTGTAAAAAAAATTACATTTAGTAAATTAATTTTATGTAATTTCCTGGGAAACATGTGATTTCCATTAAATATTAGTTTTCACAAATTATTATTTATAACTTTTCTTCACTCTCTATTATCTTTAACGACTTTCTATATTAGATATTGTTTTTTCTAAAATTCTACACATTCAAACGATATATGTTATATCGTCTACTTTCTGACTATTATTTCCGGAGATTCATTTTCAACCTAAATAATCATTTTCCCTTTTTTCTCCATTTTCTAATTATCAAATTCTTTTATTTTATATCTAGCCATTTTTTATAGTTACTGGCAGTAAATCATTTCTATAAAATAAACGAAATTAAAGGTACTTTATAGGAAGACGTATATGAAAATCAGGCATTTACTTCCTGTAAAATGACATTAACGTGGAAAAGACCTAGCCTGATATTGATAACAACTTAATAATACACTGATATACTGAGTTTAATTAAAATAATGATTTTAAAGAGCAGTTTTTGAGAAAATCATAAAAATGTAGTACATGATCATATAAAGTGCCACTTCCGGTTTGCCAATTTTGACGAATAAGTTACATCCTAGGCATAAACAAAACTTTGAATGACTTTTCGATTTGAGGTATGAGGTATGCTGTTCACACAAACCATTTTGTGGGACTTCACGCTCAGGGGGCATCAAAATCTGTATTTCCATTGAAAATTCGGATTCTCAAATTTTCCCAATTGCAGTGCTTTCATTACAGGATGTCTTGAAAATGAAAATAGCTAAACATAAGGGTTTGAAAGAATTTGATAATTGAATAAAGGAAAAAACAGAAAATGTACTTATTCACCTTGAGAACGAATCTTCAGAAATAATAGTCAGAAAGTATACGTATAATGTATCATTGGAAAGTGAAGGATTTTAGTAAAAACTATTACTGTTACTATAGATTATTATTATTTAACGGATCACATGTTTTCAGGGAAATTAAATGAAATTTACAAACTAAATGTAAAATTTTAAAAGTTTGAAACTAAGTATTTAAAATCATGAATTTCATCTAATCAAGACACTGACACTGTTAAAAAAATTATTTTATTGTACTTGTGTGAAAGAAGAAGTGAAATATAAACATGTTTCATGGACATAGTATAAAATATATGTTTATGTCCTTAAATACATTTACAGTAGTTAAATAATTCTAGATCTGATATTATGTTTAAATAATTAGGTATCAACGTCCGTTTATTCCGAAAAATCGTTATGTAACCTTTTAGAAAATTAAATTAGTGAATAATTTGATGAATTTTCTTTCCATTTGGAAATCCCAACATTATCCACCTAAAATTAGTGACAACTTTTGACGTATGTATAGCAGGCAATGAAAATCTCATAATTTCATTTTAGTAAACTTTACAATGGAAAATAAGTTTAATTGGAAACTAATAGGCGTACAATCCATGATTATAGGTTGAATATACAGATACACTTTCAAATCTCTCTGGGCATAAACATAGATTAATAGCTCACAAGACTGGAGTTATGTGGTTTACAAAAACAAATAAGGTTTTTTTCTACCATTGATATAATTGTAGGGTTTTTGTTATTATAATGGTCATAATGAATTGTTAGCTGTATCTTCAATAAAATTCCACATCAAAAATTGTATAATAGCCAACTTTGCCAGAAAATAATTTCTATTCAAAGCAGAGAGCTAAGTGAAAGTTTTGTGTTGCTCGTACCACATTTTTAAGTCATATTATTTGATGAATAGGAAGTGATAACTAAACAATTATTAAATTTAAATAATTGATAATTGTTTTCACTGTAAACTAGATGAAATTTTCTTCAAATGAAAATAGAGTTAGTCTTTGTTAAAACCCTTTAAAAAGAAGTTTTGAGTGGCTAAATTCGGTTTTAAAAAAAAATTAAAAATTATTGGTGATTTTCTTTGTTTTATCATTACTCAACTGTACTGGAGAACTCACTTTTAGAAAAACTTAAAAAAAACAACAACACTAAAGTTGGATTTTCTTTTACGCTGAGAATTAGAGCCCATTGTTTATATGAACTTTTTTGTAGACCTTGAGGTCTGCTAACACCCTGTTTATTACATGGATACCTAAGTAAAAGCTAAAATGCTGTACATTCAATTCTCTAATAATGAACAACGCTAAACCTACCTGTACAACATGCAGCAGGCCATGTATTTACCATGCCTTGGATCACACTTCACCATCTGGTTGGCTGGTTCAAAGCAAGCATTGGTGATTTCCATTACTGAGAGTTGTTCATGGTAAGCTTTCTCGGCAGAGATCACAGGGGCGTAGGTAACCAGAGGGAAATGGATACGTGGATAAGGTACCAAGTTGGTCTGGAATTCAGTCAAGTCCACATTCAAAGCACCATCGAACCTATAAATGTGTTATTTAATATAAATAAAATGTTTAAGAAACAAAATAGTAATATCGTATAATATAAAAAAAAAATTACCGAAGAGAAGCTGTGATAGATGAAACAATTTGTCCAATAAGCCTATTGAGATTGGTATAAGTGGGTCGTTCGATATCAAGATTTCGCCTGCAAATATCGTAAATAGCCTCATTGTCAACCATAAAAGCACAGTCTGAGTGTTCAAGGGTGGTGTGGGTAGTCAAGATGGAATTGTATGGTTCAACTACTGCAGTGGAAACCTAGAAATTAGAAAATTAGTTAAAAAATTAAAATCCAAGACTCACCAAATAAAAATTTATTGTTCAGAAAAAGACTCTTACCTGAGGAGCAGGGTAGATGGCGAATTCCAGTTTAGATTTCTTGCCATAGTCAACAGACAACCGTTCCATGAGAAGAGATGTAAATCCAGAACCAGTGCCTCCGCCGAACGAGTGGAAGATAAGGAAACCCTGAAGACCAGTGCATTGATCGGCAAGTTTACGAATTCTGTCCAGTACAAGGTCGACAATCTCTTTGCCAATGGTGTAGTGTCCACGAGCATAGTTGTTTGCTGCATCTTCCTTGCCAGTGATCAGCTGCTCTGGATGGAAAAGCTGCCTGTAGGTCCCGGTCCTTACCTCATCTATACAAACGGCAAAGGTTAATTCATGGGAGACTTCAATAAACCTCTTACTCAAGCTAGGTTTTTGAATCTGATAACTTACCAACAACGGTTGGTTCAAGGTCGACAAACACAGCCCTTGGGACGTGTTTACCAGCACCAGTCTCGGAAAAGAAAGTGTTAAAGCTGTCATCACCTCCTCCAACAGTCTTGTCTGAGGGCATCTGGCCGTCAGGCTGGATCCCATGCTCCAAGCAGTACAGCTCCCAGCAGGCGTTACCAATCTGGACGCCAGCTTGCCCAACATGTATGGAGATACACTCACGCTGTAACCATGTATTAACAAATTATTTTTATAACATTATACGTTAATGATATTGAAAAATTTAAAATAAATCAAAATTTGCTACCTTAGAAACCAATCAAGATAAAAATATTAGTAATATTGTTGTTAATTATGATTTTAATAATTTGATAACCAATATTAATTAGGTATTTAATTCCAGAACCAGCCAAGTCCAAAATCTCAAAAATAAAAATTATACAAGTTTTGTTGCTACATTTCTAAGCGATATAAGGATTTTATCAAAAACATTTTGCAAACTGTTTCAAAACTAGCCAGATCCATAGTAACCTAAGTATGTGCAAACATTTATCCAGCGGATAGATTAAGTTTACATTTAGATTTATTGGAATTAATTATCGTTCTTGATAAACATTAAACTATCACTGTTTCAATAATAAAATACTAGTCAACATGGACAAAACTAGCAATACTGAAATTATTATTTCACCTCAAATTGTTTCTAACTTAATTTTTTAAGTCCACATTTTTGGCAAGGAAAGATCACACTAATCTTGTAATGCTAAAGCTAGCAGAGAATGTATATATTTTTTTAATTGGTTAGGTTATGTCACACTTCTTACATTAAATAAATTTAACTTAATTAGCTTGCAGATGAAAATAAAACCATTAAATTATTGTTATACTCTAATATAAAAAACACATTTATATAAAAAGAAGTTTAAATCTTATAGCAATTAAGTACAACTAGAAAAAACTAAATAGCAAAATATAATTTGAAATCTTTACTGCAGTATATAAAACATATTCTTTAGCCTCCGTGAACTGAAAACTAATATATTAATGACTGGCAGAGAACAGATAATATTTAAGGACTTCAGTAACAATTATTATTTAAACTTGAACAAATGTGTGCACTACTACTGTTTTATATTTTAATAAAAACATAGTATTTATGAATTTCACTTATTACTTTTGTGCGATTTTGATTATTTGTGTGTTACTAAGTTAGTTTTTAGCTGATGTTTCAACTTTTATTTGTTTCCACAATTTAATTACCAGTTTCGTAATAATTTGAAATTCAAACTATTGAGCATAATAAGTAGTTAGTAGTATAAAATAGTTTAAAATAAAACAGAAATAAGAAAGCAGAAATGAAAGAACAATATTATTAACAAAATAAAAAGACCGCTACGAATGTTAACTTAAAATGTCTAAGCTGAAAAACTAATAAGAAATATTATTAATCGAATTGTCATTCCGGATGTATTTAAAACACTCGTAATTGTATTTTTGTGAGAAAATATATGAAGTGCATGTAAAAAAAAAATAAAAGTAGCAAATATCAGAAATATCCAAATACAATTTGGGTTTTCAACAATACAATTTCATTTTTTTTTTTTTTTCTTGTTTCACAGAGTGAAAAACTTCTATGCTTATCATAATTTCATTAATCATGAAGCAAGAAATATAATTATAATAATAATGATTAAAATAAAGACAAAAAGAAAGGATGGATGGTAATGACGTGATCAGAGAATCATACCCGTGTGCCCTTTGCCATTGATACAAAATCTTTAAAAAATCGGTCTGGTAGTGTCGGAGAAAAGAAGCGGACGGCATATGGGCAGATTTTTTTTTATTATTCTAATTTTGGATTTGATGTATCTTAAAACATGAAAGGTCAAATTTTGAGAGGGAATTTAATCATTTCATTTCGATCTTAATTTATTTTTAAAACAAAAAAATAAATTTTGTGAAAAATAAAATAATATTAGGAAATTTCAAACTTCTTTTATTGACTAGGGAAGTATATATTGCAGACTGCTATTTTAAAATTATGATAATAATAGCCAGCATTTACATTTAAGATATGTTTTATCAGGCTTGCTGATAAAAGTTGAAATAAATTTTATAAATCATATGCAGAATACAAATCTTGACTACTTGTCATCCACATATTTTTATTGAAGAGCTTAAATCATTGTTTATGTATGCATATACCACTAACATTTTTAACCTAAGATTTCAATCTTTAGGTGAATGAATTTAACCGTAAATATATTTGCAGAACAATTTATATAACCTGGTTTGAATAAAATGTAACTTGTCAAAATTTTGACACTCCTTATTTTATGCGCAATATGATCCTACGATCGGGTCCACTAATTATCAACAGGTGCCACTGTAGTATTATTTACGTTACTTATAGAAGCACCGATAAATCTATTGATTATAAAACAAAACAATAACATTTGCCAACAACCTAAACAGAAATAATCATTAATTAAGCTACATAGCCCAGTAGTAACCTCGTCATGAAATGAGAGGTAAAGCTGCATAGAATAAGGGGTATAGAAGTCTTCTTATAATCTTTAACCTCGCTCTATCTCACCTCCTTCAAAATATTAAAATGAATAAATATTTACTTCCCATATCTAACTCATATCAGACAGTATTGAAGATAAAATACAATAACATATGATCAAACATGAAAAATAATTTTAATGGAAAACATTAACATTATTTTCTAAAATTTGAAAATCTGTAGCTCATAAACTACTTGGTTTACTGGGCCTGTTCTGGTGTTAAATTGTAAAATATTTTATCTAGTTAAAAACATGTTTAGTGTTTTTCCCTTCATGAATAAAATTGAGAAAAACCGAATAAAGTGTGAAAATATAGCAGTTTTGGGGATATTCAAAATTGATCTGGGGAGCACAGAGGTAGACAACTTAAATTTTGCTTCTCAGTCATATCCCATACAAGAAAATAGAAAGAAACCTTCCATCACCATTCAATGAAACTTGGGATGAACAAGGTCACTGGGCTAATAGCGTTGAATTCAATTTCAAAATATAAATCTATCAAAGCCGAAATCTTTTTACATTGCTAGAACTATATATAAAGGAGTGGACTAGGGCATACTCAGTAATGTAATTAACTCATTACATGAAACATATTGAAATAAATATTTGAAAAATAACACCTAAAAAATTGAGTTACCACATAAGTAAATTAATACAGTAAAATTAAAAATAACCTAGTAAATTGTAAAATTCTACAGAGGATAGTATACAATTACAATGAAAGAATAAACCTCCTACATAACATAAGTTGAACTATACAAATAAAATTGTTTGATATTAGATGCTGATTTATTTAAAGCATTCGAGCAATCGAACAGGTCACATGATGTACCACTCAATCATGTAACAAGTATTGATCCAGGGCGGAGTAAGATGGTGACTCCACAGATTCTATTATTAACTAACATTTAGTTGAACTCTAATCAAAATGGAACAAAAAGTTATATTATTGATGGTTTTATGTCAGGCATAAAGTACCACCCCCACAGTAAGTTCAAAAATAATTAAAAACCATTATACAGGTAAAGAGTCAACGACAAAAATATCATTTGAAGGATAGCTGGGTAATAAAATTGCCCATAACAATAAAAACATATAAATCGAAAATAAATTCAAGTCTAAATAAAATTCTACTTTTAGAACATTTTAACAATTCAAGCAATTATGGATAACATTAATTTTTTTCAGTGTTAAAATCCTAACAGATATTTCATGAATCAAACAAACACTATTCACCAACGCTAATGGTTTTATAATAGTGTAGAGATGGTTGACCGTGATTATATTTTGTGGAATTTGTCGGGAATGAGGTCAAATAAATACTATATATTGAAATGGTATTTTATTGGTTACACCAGTGTTTTATTTTTTAATTCAAACTTATTCAACTTAACAACAATTGTGCAACACATTTACTAATATACCCAAATGTCTACTTAAAAACAAGTTATTTAGGTATACAAATATGGCTTCTGAATAAACTAGCCATTGATTAACAACACTATAATCCCAGAATTCTTGACTACGTCTGGAGTAATTAGAAAATTATAATACAAGAAATTGTTGATACCAATAGAAAATATATGTGTGATAGAAGATTAATAGAAGAATTACATTATCCACAGCCAACAAATAAGTTAATGAATGGAAACAATCCAATGATGTGAGAATTCTCACTTTTTATCAATGGAAGGTTCTGGAACTACTTATCCATTACTGCACCAATTATACATTCAATACTAGAAATAAACAACTACCGACAGTACTAATATTACTACTTAACAATAAACCCGGCTAAGTAACATATCATTAAAAGTTGAAAAAAAAAAAATCGTTAACGTATGCTAAAATGCCGTTACGGAAAGACGGTTAGTGGCGTGCCGCCATCGTCTATTCCAAGGTCAATACATTTCGCTTTGGTCATAACTTAAATCCAATTATTATAAATGGAGAAAAACAGTTCACACTAACTAAATTAAAATGATTAAGAAGAACACGAACTGTTTAATCATGAAACTGATACCGGCCGGCTAAACCAAGATAAAGGGCGTGGCATGGGAGAGATGCAAATTTTATCAGGACTGTGAAGTTTAATTAATACGTAAAATAAGGTGGGAGGCCATATTCATCAAAAAGATGAACACAATAGGTACATAAATGCCTAAAGAAAACGAAACATTATCGACATTGTCGATCATCCAACAATGATGATAATGGGAAACCTTGAGGTTAATTAGTCACGATAATAAATGTTACTCACCATTGTTTGTTTTAAGTGTAGACTAGTTCAAAATGAATGAAAATGAGTAGTAGCTTGCTATAACCGCTACAGTGAACAGACGATGAAGTTCCTATAACGATTGCTGCAAGAATGAGCTGCGGTATCAGTGGAGGGGGTATATAAAGCGGGCTGCCGGCGCTCAGTGTTGCCACGGTTCCTCCCTTTTGCCGGTTCATTTATTTCCAACAATCTCCAATATAATTACAACTATATTTACTTTAAAATATTTAAAAAAGCAAATCTTTTATCTTGGTTTATTTTCTTCCTCATTCTTACAGTAATAAATCGTAATTTAATAACTTTTTTATCAAACACCGCATTGCAGTAGATCAATAGTTTGGCGCCATCCACTGATCCTAGCGGTCTCACCCAATCGACTTAAAAACATTAAATATCTGCCGCTAGACTTTTTGATTCACCATGACTCTGAAGTTATGTAATTATCAACCGTTAATGTTAAAAAAATGTATCGAAAATGAAAATTCTTATTTATATAATCATCTCGCGACGGACTATTTTTTAGCGTCGTATCGAACCATAATGGCTCTATCGGGCCAGTTGACTCAACCGCTGTCCAGTTTCAAATCATGACTCATTTCCAATTCCTCAAGTTCACTCTATTGATCGAAGAATATCTAGTGGCAGGAAAACATGCAATGTAGTCCAGAATGACATCGAAATTATAATTCTATTCACTATCGTCCATTATTATTCATTTCTCGATATTTAATTTAAATTTATTTAGATATAGTTAGATATGTATTTATTTGTTTTTGGGTATATACTCTAACCAGGGCAAGAATAGGTTATCGACCTGAAGCGGATTCATGATTTTTTTTTGGGGAGGGGGAGAGGGAGTGCTGTTTTTCTTTTAAATAATGATTATTACAGAAATAATAATGCTTATAAAGATAAAAAGTTTATATTTTTCTTGCCACATGCTTACGTTTAGTAGCTGAAATACCTGCGTGATAATTAGCATAGAGAATATATTGTGTTTTTTTTTTTAGTATTTGGCTTACACATAAAAACAAATACGGATCAATGAAAAAATCATAATCTTGTGAGAGAAGGGAAGTGCACTTCAACTCAGAACCTCCCTCTCCCTTGAATCCTGGCAGCCGGGAGAAGAAATCAAGGGCTCAGGTATAATTTCGCCCGGCCTCCTCAAACATTAAATTTACGATTAACTCGCAGCCTTTTGAGATGAAAAGTGCAGCAAAAAAATAGGAATGGACAAATCAACCTTAATCTGTGACAAAGACTAGAATAATTATCGTGTACAGGTAAATAAACAATAAATTCTGGCTGTAATAACTATCACAATAAATTAAACAAAAACATTACGTAATTGTTATATAACATATTGACAGTATTGTTGCCCGAAATCGGTCTTGTTCTTGCACTTTGCAAGACCAAGACCAAGGCCGCCTGACTGTTGCATGACCAAGACCAGGACTGGTTACAAAATCAATTTTTTTAAATAAAAATTAATGAAAAACGGTTGCCAATACCTGACAATCTTAGTTACTATATGCTAATAATCGATATAAGCAATATACTTTTACATTTAACTGTAATTTTTCAATCGGGCTTAGTTAGGTTTCTCCTATCTAAAAAATTACAGTAATATCTCTATAGTAATAAGCTAATAATGAACTGCAAGACTGATGCGATAGTCTTGCATCCTGTGAGTAATTAAATATTATATATATAATTTATATTTAGAGATGGATAAATAGTCGGCTGATCAATTATTATGAGACAGTTATCAATTATCAATTAGAATGAGACAAAATTGTGGGAAATTTCAGTCAAAATTTAATGGATTAGGCAACGTTTCGGTCCAAACATGTGGGTCATCATTAGGGCTATCGTTTTGAAGTCGAGGAAAGAAGTATATAAATTTGTGAGGAAATACACCAAATCGAACCGCTAACGATTCTAAATTCCCTTCTGTCCAATCAGACACAATTATCTGTAGATATCAAATGGTTAAATATAAACTCTGATATTGCTGATAAAAGAATTTTTTTTTAGAAATATGTAATAATTGTAAAATTGATTGAAAACAATAAAATTTTAAGATTAGAAAATAAGGAAAAGGAATTTGTCTTTCGCAAAGATAACCCTTAATCATTTAGATAATAATTGGAGTAATATAATTCTTTTTAAATAAATCTAAATTCAACATTTTTGACCTCTCCAATCATGAAAAATTCAGGAAGGTGTAAAAAAATTGTATATATTATTTATTATTAATGAGAAAATTATATTTTAATAATAATATATACAGTTCAAGATAGGCAGATATGGAGTAGGCTTGAAAAGGCGGCAAAGAATCTGCAAGATCTGTAATCTTAACAGAAACAAACAGAATATACACTGACAGGCAAAAAATTCCACCCACTTGATTTTTTCATGTTTTCATCTAAAAATACTTCTGCTTTGGATTGGTCTATTGTTTTTAATGAATAAATAGGTAAACTTTTTGTTTGTTTTCAATTAGAAATGTTAATATAGAGGACAATAACCCTTAATCCTTAATTCAATGAAATGATTCTAGATTCCAATGTTTACTTTCTATGGAATCAAAATGTTTATTCAGTATCATTAGTTCAGTGCCGTTTCTTGCAGCACATTTCTTAGTCTCCGGCTTTTAATTTTTTCAATATTAAGTTTAAAAATGCCTCTTAGTGCTGAGGATGTTGCGCGTGGTGTGGCACTTATTGATGATGGACGTTCCGTTAGATATGCAGCTAATGCCATCGGAGTTCCATATCAAACTTTACGAGACGACGTCAGGCGTTTTCGGGAAACTGGTTCTTACAATAGAAGGCCCGGTTCTGGACGGCCTAGGGTAACAGAACCACGGGGTGACCGGTTTTTGACTTTGAGAATTTTACGAAACCGGCACCTTACCGTTGTTCAAGCGATTCATCAGCTCGAAGAAGTTCGAGGTGTGCAAATTTCTGAACTTACCGCTCGGATAAGATTAAATGAGTATGGATTAATGGCTTTTCCTCCAGTAAGAGGACCAGAGTTGACCAGAACTCACAGAGTAACACGGCTGGCTTTTGCTCGAGAACACAGCCATTGGACTACGGACGAATGGAGTGCTGTACTTTCTACAGATGAGTCAAGATTCGCTCTTCGATCTCCAGACGGACGTGAAAGGGTGTGGAGAAGAAAAAACGAAAGATATGCCTGTAATTTTTCCCAGAGCCAACCTATCCAATGTGGTTCCTTAATGGTGTGGGCTGGGATTTCAATGGAGCGCCGCACAGAATTGGATGTTGTTTTTGAAGGGTCTTTGACGGCCATTCGCTATGTAGATGAGATTTTGGAACCTCATGTGTTGCCTATCCTCAAAGAAATCGGATATCGTTCTATTCTAATGCACGATAATGCACGCCCACATGTCGCCCGCATAGAGCAGACCTTCCTTCAACAGAACAATATTGAGGTTTTAGCCTGGCCAGCACGTTCTCCAGATTTGAACCCCATTGAGCATTTATGGGATAACCTCGAAAGACGAATAAGATCGCGTGCAACCCTTCCTGATACACTGCAGGATCTTGAAAGGTATCTTCGGGAGGAATGGGCTATCCTCCAGTAAAGGGACATTTCCCGACTGGTGGAAGGTATGCCGAGGCGTCTTCAAGAAGTAGTGAAGGCAAGAGGAGGAAACACGCGCGATATAATTAAAACGATGATGTAATTAATTTCTTTTAGAATAATAATGGTTCGTTTTTCAATTTTTTTTCTCTAATCTTTCTTACCCAATCACATTTTGATTATTAAAGGTATAAAAGATTATACAATTCCATAAATACTAAGTATTATCTACAAATACCATGTATTATATACAAATACAACTTTACAGAAATATTTTTAGATGAAAACATGGAAAAATCAAGTGGGTGGAAATTTTTGCCTGTCAGTGTATATATGGATAATAAAGAACTTGTTTATTAATAAATATTACAATATGTACCAAAGAACATTTATAATAGTCTTCAAGGAGCATGTTCACTCTATGTACAATAAAGAAAAATAAATTAAACAGCAAAATGATATAACTAATACTAAATATTTATGAACAAGGATTCCCATCTCCCCTATGGTCGATGGGTTACTCTATAGCTTTCTTCTTCTTAGAAACAGTGTAAGCTAAAGTAGAATTTCAAAAATAATAGGCCATATGCAATGACTAGTCTTGCTCTAATGCGAGACCTATACGAGTTTTGGTCTTGCGCAAGAGTCTCGCAACAATCTTGTAGTTACCTGTTAGCTTATTACTATAGAGATATTACTGTATTTTTTAGATATGAGAAACCTAATTAAGCCCGAATGAAAAATTAGAAGAGTTAAATGTTAAAGTATATTGTTTATACCAATTATTTACACTTTCCAATGACAGTTAAATTACAATTTCATGACAGTACTACAATTAACGTAAGGTAGTGTGGGTGTGAACTCTATTTCGAAAATTGTACGTTTTGGAGCTTAAGAACGCAGAGCCCGGTATTCGGGTCTTGGTGTACGCATCAAAATCTTCAAAGCCAAATTGTCACGTATCGATCTACAGACTTACCACCGTCCCGGTATTGAAGCCTAGCAAAATGTTTGTATCGACTTTATTTATTTTAGAAAGATAAACAATAGCGGAAAGTACGATTCGCTAACCCCCCGTGAAATTCTGAATCCAACGGTACTCCATTCATGTTATCTGAGCATGACAGGAGCCACTAGCGGATCCAGGATTTAATTTTGGGGGGAGAGGGGGGCTTCAGCCCGGAAGTTTTTTTTTTCATATATACTACGATAATTATTTTGTAAAAACAGAAAGATACTAGCTATCAATATGATATGGTGTTTAAGTGATTCTTGAAGTCCTATTATATGTAATTAAACGAGCAATAATACTTTAAGGCATAATTTTTGAACATTTTTTATCGTAAAACATTTTACCATTTTGGGGGAGGGCTTCTTCCCCCCCCCGTAAATCCGCCTGTGGCAAGAGCTTATATTTGGTACAAAATCTATTTCGAGCCTTACTGTAATAATATACGGGAGGATGTCGACGTGTTACTCGTACATGCAGGTCAGTAGTATTTTTTATTATCATAACGCCTTTTAAAGATGACAACAGAGAGGTTTTGGACGGTCCGGTGCCCGAAATGTTAGACACATCGATTATCCTGATAAATAACCCTTGGACTAAATATTTTGGCAAACCAAACAAAAACATGTGAAATAGTTCCGTCAAAGAGGCCTCGGATTCCGTTGATATTGGCTAGGACGTTCCAATTGAAACTAATGCTTGAACCCACGCCACATTAGTGGCGACTCTTAAGATAAAGATGAGGAAGAAAATTGGCCCGAATCTGAGAACGCTACCGTTTGAGGAGTGACATCAACTTCCGCCAAGGAGGAATCAAGGACGCGGAGGTTAGAGGAGGCGAAGGAGTCGGTAGCGAGGCTAGGGAGGTCGCGGTAATGTTGATATCGATATTTTCCTTTCGATATTATCTGATA